TCCTTCGGCGTTAACCCCTTCAAATAAAAGTATTTGATGACAGCACGATTTTCCTGCTTTTCCATTTTTACGAAAACCACAGAGGCGTCTTGTTCAGCGTGCTGTCAAACCTACACTAGCAAGGAGATCGGGCTGAAACTATAGCTACAAGCTATCCAAGGATGGTACTATAGAATGTCACCTCAAGGTAGGCCTAGTGGCGTCATCTCTTGGTTAGGCCGGAAACTTATCAATCCACCCTCGTATTACGAGCTCACACTATATTTTTTCTGTAAATTTCAGACCTTATGTAGGTGCTATGTCTTATTCATCTACAAAAGGAAAAAATTGATTCAAAAAACTTATTCACATGCTAATAAATTTAATGTTGATTAATTTCATACAAATTTCAAAAATATCATATAAATTTTACAAATTCTATGGGTATGGTAAGCAGCGTTCTGGGTCCTGTACGGCATATGTCGGTGCTAAATCGGAGAGACCGCTATCACTAAGGATTTGCTGTACTTGAGCTGCTACTTCTGATGAATAAACCGTTGTCCTGCTCCTGGCCCATATTAATTCTAGAAAGACAATTGTATAGTAACCAACTCGAGGACAAGGAATCAAAATTTAATCATCATAGTGAATCGGCCTCCAATGGATATTTGAATCATCTTTTCAGGGTAAATGAGTATACTGATTCTGCAACTTTCAGATCTCTATCTACTTTCGTTTTTGAATAAACCGAAGACAAATAAAATAAAAAAATATAAAACGACTTAACTGATTTAAATGAAAATATTTATAATAATCAATAGAAACCGATGACGATTCAGGTATCCGTCACGGGCCGATTCCTTACGGCCCTTATCATATAATTTTTGAAATTCTATGCGGTAAATGCTAAATTTAGTAGATTTCAATATGTTCGACAAGGTCCGTATCTAAACGGATCTTGTTGAACATATTGGAATCCAGTAAATGTCTCATTGTACAACAGATGGCGTTTATTGCACCGTTTGTAGAATTTCATAAAACGCTATGTCAAGGCAGCAGATAAAGTTGATCTGTATTCTGTCGAAGCTGTCGACAACGCGCTGATGAGATCTAACAAAATCTAGCAGTTTCGACAGATTACTAACTACCACGAACTTCTCTGTCCCATTGAATTTTTCTTCAGAAACGTGCCCTTCTGTCAGTTTTAAATAAAAAATTTACTACTGTCTTACCCATTTTGCTTGTACTATTTATATCGAGGCATCTGTAGTCCAGGACGAACGAATCATAATCGACTCCAAGAATTGGATATATCAATGGGTCGGGAACGTTGGGGTATCTTAGACTTATAATCCCGTTACGTGTACCACTATCGGGTGTCCACGTAACCACACCATCAGACCTACCATTCCATGTACCATCAGTTAAATTCTTTCGTCTCCAAAAGAAATCGACGGTTATGTTTGATGTTATGGTGAAATTCACAAATTGGCAATCGGCCGGGGTGTTGTATGTGAAAACGGTGTACCATCTTCTGCCAGTCTCTCCGTACTGTCGACAGAAATTGCAATTAATTAAATAAAGGTGTATGCTTGGAGCGCGGCGTAGTACGGGTGCGAAACATGGACAGTGAGTCTTCGAAATGTGGTGTTGTAGGCGAATGATGAGGATAACGTGGGTAGAAATAATAGGAGAACAGAGGACTCTTTGGAAGTTAATAAGAAATAGGCGAGATAGGTTGGTGGGACACATTCTCGGGCATGAAGGTCTAGTCAGAGACATATTAGAGGCTATAACAGGAGTTAGGAGGGGTAGAGGTAGACCTGGGTTGAAGGTTCACAAATAGTTAAGGATGTAGGTTGTTCTTGTTCTAGGGAAATGCGAAGTTTAGTTCAGGATAGGAAAGAGTGGAGGTACGTGTCCATCCAGTCTTAGGACTGACGTCCCTATGATGATGATGATGATGATGGTACATTTGAAATAGAGCAGATGACTATAGAATATTAATCTTTTGCATTCTCCGACAATTCTACGTGAAAGCCAATATCAATTTAGGCCGCTAGTAAAAGCTAGTAAATAGAAAAACTTACCCTCGCAAAATCGAAATTGTCTACGGCCTTAACGTTTGTTCTGTCTGAACACTGCCCTGACGACGTGTATTGTGAATAACAATACGTTATCAATGCAAAAAATGCAATGAAGAAAAATTGTTTAATCATTTTTACGAAGTACTTTTGGTTTCTTCTTTACAAAGAGTAATGGCTCAATGTTTTTTTGTGATCCTTATTTATACGTATACTCGTACGAAGAAAAGTGATTCAAATTAATTTACCTAATCCTTTCTCGGGAAATATCTCTTATCTAGATGCTCGAAACAAAAGAAAACAAAATTTCTCTTAGCGATACTTTTTTATTATTGACAGCAGTATTGTTCGTGCGTTTTTTAATCAGACGTTGGAAGTATTTAAGTGCTTGCACGTGGAATAACTCAGAGATATTGTTGTTTTTAAGTTCATTCAGGGTCGAGTAATTTTTATAATTAACTGGCTTATCCCCGCGGCTTCGCTCGCAGAGATTAATATCACCTTTTAACTCCCTATTCATCCTTACAACGTTTTAATTTTATGTAATGTCGCCATCTTAGATTTCAAATGCAAACGTAGCAACAACATTTCATCCTTGAGGGTTGATTTTACAAAGTGCCAAAACACGTATTTGCTTAATTTGAACAATGAGCAACCTTCGAGTAAATCCGAGTACAAACCAAGCTTCTAGTAAAAAAAAAACTTTTGGATGTTTCATTCCCACCAGCCAGTAATGCTGATGGGCGGGCAGTCCCTCCGGACTATGCCGGAAGGTAGGGCGGAAGGCCCTCTTCAGCCTGCTTTAAGGAATCGTGCTGGGAATGGGTGGGTGGTGGTTCGGGTGAGAATGTTGAGACGGACGAAATGAAGACAGAAGAGAGTGAAAGATTATCTGTGGAATATTACTGCCTCAGCATTTGCCTAAGTGATCCAAAGAAGCCACAGAAAAACTTGGACCACGGCAGACGGACCCGAAATCGAACCGGCGTCCTCCCGAATGCTAACCAATGGTCTAGACCAGGGATGGCGAACCTTTATGTATCGACGTGCCATTTTTATAAAGAAAAGTTTAATCAGGTCAAAGACGTGCCATCAAATAATTTTGTCTCTGTGATTATTGGGAAAATAATAATAATATCAACTNATATAGAATATGTGAAAAGTAGAGGGGGAGGGGGTCTTGGCATATACTACGGAAAATCACCGAGGGGGAGATGGGGGTAAAAAAATTGGTAAAAAATAGGTCACGTAATTTGGGTACGATTCTCAACGAATAAATCTCTTACTAAGTAATACTTTTATAAATCTAAGTGTAATGAAAAAATCGATGAAAAAAAAGCTTATTCACATGCTAAGAAACTTTAATATCGATTAATTTCGTACAAATTTCACAAATTTTGATTTTATTTTTATGATGAACAGCGATCTGGGTCCTGTACGGCGTATGTCGGTACTAAATCGGATAGACCGTTGTCACTAAGAATTTGGGTAACTGTAGCCGCTTGTTCTGATGTGTAGTTAGTAGTCCTGCTTCTCGCCCATATCAATTCTAGAAAAACAAATCTATCTTAACCACCTAAGAAATACAGCATCCTAAAGAATAACGACCGAGTTTTACAAAGAATGTGAGAAGTCGACGTGATGTCGATATTTATTAGGATTTTATCGGACTGTGTCAATAAAAAGACGGAACATCGTCAAATTTATCATGTGTGAAATGTTCAATGATGCTGCGGCTGTGCTGATTCGGGTCTAAAGATCGTCGTCGATTGGAGTTGCTTCAAATTCAACATCGGAGATGGAAGCTTCTCTGAAGATGCTTGCCGATCGTTCTGGCGAAACGTTGGAAAGCGACTATCTTTACACCCGAACCAGGACAAAATCATTTCATCAACTGATGATGTTAGTTCTTGTCCATAAAATCATTCAATTTTTAACCATAAATAAAAACTTAAGCATAAGAAAATGAAAGCTAAGCTAAATATTAAAGCGATATTTACAATTTATCCCACTAGCCCGTTGCTTTGTAAGCAAAAATAATAAAAATTACAGTTTGGACCCGAATTTGTAAAAATGAAATAAATTTACAATGTATTTTAGTTGATATTACAAATTAAATTGTAATAATTAAGATACCTGAAATAAGTTTTAAAAAACATGTCAAAATTGTGATTATTACAAGTTACCTAATAAATTCTACTATTTCATTTACAATCGGAAATTATAATTCCTGCGTTGTCATAAAAACTTAAGTGTCTCCGTGTAAAAAATACTCTCTTACCCATTCTGCTTGTGCTATTTAAATTGATGCATCTGTATTCAAGGCTGTACCCGTCATAATCAATTCCAACAATTGGATATACTAACGGGTCGGCAACGTTGGGATAGACCAGACTTATAATCGCATTACGTGTACCATTGTCGGGTGTCCACCAAACCACGCCATCAGACCTACCGCCCCATGTTCCAGAAGTTAAATTTTTTCGTACCCAATAGAAGTCCATGCTTACGTTTGACGTTATGGTAAAATTGACAAATTGACAATCGGCCGGGGTGTTGTATGTGAACACAGTGTACCATTTCCTGCCGCTTTCTCCATACTATTTGGGAAAAATTGCAATTAATTGAATAAATGTTTTTTTCATCTATAAATTTATATCCTATTAGGGTTTATTTGCGGCTTCGCTCGCGTTGGTGTTTCAAAGAAGATCATCGACGAACACATAAAACTATTTTTCTATCTCTTCGGATTTTTTTTTTTTTTCGGGATACAAGATACCCTGTACTTGTACACACCCTGAACGGGTGCGAAACATGGAAAGTGGAAAATAAAAGGTAAAATGATGAGGATACCGTGGATAGAGAAGGTTAGAAATGAAGAGGTACTAGAAAGAATAGGAGAACAGAGGACTCTATAGAAGTCAATAAGAAATAGGCGAGATAGATTGGTGGGACATCTTCTCAGGCATGAAGGTCTAGTCAGAGACATATTAGAGGCAGAAACAGGAGTTAGGAGGGGTAGAGGTAGACTTAGATTACGGTAGGAAAGAGTGGAAGTGCGTGTCCAATCAGTCTTAGGACTGACGACCTTATGATAATGATGAAAACTTACCCTATGTTTTTTTGTACCTCTGACAATGTGTATAAAAATGGTTTCCAAAGCTTTTAGGGTCCAATAGTGAACATATAGGAAATTACTTAAATTTTTCGATGCAGTAAACTTTAATTACCCAGTTTTTCTGGTTCAGTTTCATTATTGAGTTCCCACCAAAAACGTTCTGAGTCAATTTTGACTATTTTTAAATTGCTTATGTAAACTCTCAAGTAAATGCTAAACGAATAATATCAACTTACCCTTTCAACATCAAAATTGTCTACTGCTTTTAATTGTGTTCTGTCTTCGCACTGGCCCGACGACGTGTATTGTGAATAACAATACGTTATCAATGCAAGAAAAACAATCGCGAAAAGTTTGAACATTTTTACTACTTTGTTGCTTGTTGCTTGCAAAGGACAATGATAGTATATTTTTTCTGGACGTATTTATATGTATGAAGAAGAATTTCCCAACAAATCAAAACGGGTCTCATATCGCGTATCGAAAAAAAAAAAATTGTTTTGATCGAAAATGTGCCGTTATTTGTTGTCATCCCTCAAACAATGATAAAAAAAAATCACATAGTAACGGTTTATTATCTAGTATTGAGAGTTTTATTTTTTTCGCTTTTCCCTATAGTAAATCAAGATTTAAAAATATTTTGAAGTGTTTGTGCGTAAAATCATGGTCATTGATGGCACGCAGCGTGCGTTTTTGAGCTTATCTTAAACAAACAAAGCGTGCGACATTTGAATGTAAAATTTTTACAATTTATTGAAACGTTGCCTATTTTATTCACCCCTTTAACCGCGGGGCTTGGGACTGCAGAATCGCCTCCCACTAAACGCGGCACAGCCCTCACCAGAGATGTGATTTATTCGAAATACTTGCATTCAAAATGCAAATACAAAATAAAAAACACCTATTCGTATCTTGCATTTAAATACTTTTTTGAGAAAAGCATTTTGTATTTTATTTAAAATACTTTTGCAAACGCATTTTCTATTTGTAAAATGCAAAATTCGTTTTTGCCGTTATGTTTTGCTAGTATCACCGATCAGACATTAGATAAAATGATGAATGAAAGTTGCTCACATTGGCTAATGAAGGTATTAGAAGCTTTAAAAGGGTACAAAGAGACATTCCATGTATGCCTTTTAATTACTTAATTGAACAGAGCCCAAAAGATTCTAAACTCATTGGAAATGGATAATCTAAAATATTGGATCGATATTGTTTTCCGGGTTTAATGTCATGGTCCATGGAATTTTGAAGTTCCAAACTGATATCAACCCCTGCCAAATCACCACTTGTCTTACCTTTAGCAAAGAACTACGAAATTCTATGAATTACGACAAAACAGCCCCCAAAACAAAATCGAATTGATATACGCCAGCTGTGTAAAACTGAAAACTACAAGATATTGTGGTGTGCTAATAAATGCCTATAATCCAAAATTCTTAGAAAACGATTCGAAAAACTTCACTTATTAGATGAACCCAAAGTTAAAGAAACTATGGATTCTATTTCTTTCTCTTATTACAATGTGTAAAAGATCGGAAATAAAATGGGGTTGTAAATATTTTGATATAAATTCATAGATGTTGATTTTACATCAATAAAAGTTTTTACAATTCTATTTTGGCTCTGATTTTCACGGTAAACAAACTATTTTGTCATCAGTGTCTTTTTTCCAATTTAAACGGGTGACAAAGATGAATAAGGAAGCATATAGAAAAATTATTTGTTGCAGAACTGAAGAAACTATAACATAAAGATAGAAAAACTATATCTCAATCACTTCAGACGGAAAAATATGAATCATAATTAATTTTCCCAGCTGGTGATATAGTAAAAACACCACTATTAACTGTTAACGTGTTAAATTAAAAAGTTAACAAATTGAAATAATAGCACTCTTGAAATGTAGCCTGTACAACGAGAAAGATCAAACGGAAATGGCAATTGAACGTAATCTCTGAATATAATATTTTTATCATCCCTCAATTGAACCCTTTACAGACGGATAATTGTTTTTCAAACTTTTGGCATCAAAGAAATGGAGGTTGCAAGATAGTCGTCTCAAAGAACTTTATATACAGGGTTTGAGAATTTAATTCTAGAACGTTCGAGAACGTTCCCGAATGATAACTAATTTTTCCTGAAGGAAGCGATAAAAATGAAGAAAAATTAAAAAAAAAATCAAAGTAACTACCAACTCGAAAACTGTGGGACATTTGCTAACATAAAATTCAATTTTCTAGATGTCCTTGAGTTCCTCAACAATCGGTTCGAGAGGGAAACCCCTTACAGAAACAATAGGTCTAATTAATTAATCTTATCGTGAAACTAATTCTAAATCCTTTTTAAATTAGAGCCGTTATTACTTATCTGTCAGTCAAGGTTAAGTGTAGTTTTCTTGCAATAAGTGTTTACTATAATAAAAATCAGGATACTTAAGTGTTTCTGCGTGGAAAATCTCATGTTTAGGTACTCATCATAGTATTTAATTTTGTCGACTTTTTAATCGTGTGGTACATGTAAGTCGTTCAAAGTGACAGATTTGATAAAGCTTTTAGTTCTTCAATTTTTGATTACTGTCTATTTTTATTCTTAGTAGAACAAAAAAAAATTTAGTAGGGTCTACATTCAGGAAAGCTATTTAACAGTTTTTGAAGAAAATGAACTTTTTTTTTACATTTTGCGAAATGCCTCTTCCCCATTGCTTTTTCTGCCGTAGGTATACTTTTAGAAATCGTTGATTAAAGAAATACAAAAATATACTCCAAATTTCATCAAGATCGATTTTTATTTAACTTTTTGAGTAACAATTGTAAAATGTGCCAATTTTTGTAAAAAAATTAAACCTTTGAAAACATGCCAGAAAATTAAAAAAAAAAAACCATCTCGTGGAATTTTTAAAAAATATTCATTTCCACTGATTTGCAACTATTTTTTTAATTGTGAATACAATTTAAAAAAGAAGTGTTGTAAAATAGTTAAAAGAGACCAAAAGTTATGTTCGTTTTAAAGTTTGTAATTTCTGTTATTAACAGTTACTTCTTTTATACTCAAAGTCAATTCTACGTTGACTATACGAGGGTGGATTGATAAGTTTCCGGCCTGACCAAGAAAAACAAGGTTTTTAAAAAAATTTTTTTTTTATTTCTCAACATAATCTCCTCCAAGGCTGATACATTTCTCATAGCGGTGTTCCAGTCTATTAATGCCATCTCTATAGACTGATTCGTCAAGCTCCTCAAAATAACCATTTACANGTTCTCGAACCTTCTAGAAAAGAGGAAAAAATTGATTCAAATAATTTTATTCACATGCCAACAAATTCATTACAGATTAAATTTAAACAAATTTTAAGGGTATGGTAAGCATTGCTTTGGGTCCTGTACAGCATACGTCGGTGCTAGATCAGAGAGACCGTTGTCACTAAGGATTTGCTTTACTTTAGCTGCTTGTTGTGACGTGTAAACCGTTGTCCTGCTCCTGGCCCATATTAATTCTAGAAAGACAATTGTATAATAACCGACTCGATAGAGAAGTGATCAAGGAATTAAAAATTAATCATGCTATTTTTTGGCCATAAAATCAAACAATTTTTGAAATTCTGCTGAAGCTGTTTGCGACGCGTTTATGAGATCCAACAATCGTAATCGCCATCCACATCTGTCCCTTTCTACAGAACATTTACCTTCATGAACTTTTTCGATTCGATTTAGGTAACGTGCCTAATACTAGTCCAGTCAAATGAGGGAAATGACTGAAGAGTACCTCATAATGGAGAAAATGACTGAAACAAGAGTCACTTTATCGGAAATTTCTTGAGGAACACGAATATGTAAATGAAAATTATTTACCCTGCATAGCTGGGGAGAAAATCCGCAAAAACTATTGCAAATTCGATTATCTCGCGAAATACGAAATATATGGAAAAACAGTATCAATAAAGGTATTTATCACTATATAATATGAAACAAAGTCGCTTCCCGCTGTCTTTAAATCTACGTCACGGATTTTGATGCGGTTTTTTTTAGTGGATAGAGTGATTCAAGAGAAAGGTTTATATCTATAATACATGCATAATATAGTAGAGAAACGCTGATAATTTTAGAGGTTTCTAATGTAATGTCGTAAATAAACACATTTTTTGCGCTTACATTGCAAACGCTGGCTGAACCCTACGAGACAGATCAAAATAATGTACTACAATATTGTGCATCTTAAAAGGGTCTACAAAAAAGTCCGGGATGGTATATATATATCTCTTAGGGATAACCCACAATAACCATTTTTTATCCTTCACATTTTATGAGAAATAATGACTTATTTACTAAACGATTTTAAGTAACACGGCATTAATTCTTATCCAATTAAGTACCTTAAATACATTGTGCATTAATATAGATCAATATGGCCCTTTACAGCATGCAATTTAAATGAATATTTTCGGGCTCACTTATCTGGTATATGTCTATCTCTTAGGGATAACCCACAATAACCATTTTTTCTCCTTTACTTTTTATGAGAAATAATGACTTATTTACGAAGCGATTGTAGGNAACCCTTTACAGACGGATAATTGTTTTTCAAACTTTTGGCATCAAAGAAATGGAGGTTGCAAGATAGTCGTCTCAAAGAACTTTATATACAGGGTTTGAGAATTTAATTCTAGAACGTTCGAGAACGTTCCCGAATGATAACTAATTTTTCCTGAAGGAAGCGATAAAAATGAAGAAAAATTAAAAAAAAAATCAAAGTAACTACCAACTCGAAAACTGTGGGACATTTGCTAACATAAAATTCAATTTTCTAGATGTCCTTGAGTTCCTCAACAATCGGTTCGAGAGGGAAACCCCTTACAGAAACAATAGGTCTAATTAATTAATCTTATCGTGAAACTAATTCTAAATCCTTTTTAAATTAGAGCCGTTATTACTTATCTGTCAGTCAAGGTTAAGTGTAGTTTTCTTGCAATAAGTGTTTACTATAATAAAAATCAGGATACTTAAGTGTTTCTGCGTGGAAAATCTCATGTTTAGGTACTCATCATAGTATTTAATTTTGTCGACTTTTTAATCGTGTGGTACATGTAAGTCGTTCAAAGTGACAGATTTGATAAAGCTTTTAGTTCTTCAATTTTTGATTACTGTCTATTTTTATTCTTAGTAGAACAAAAAAAAATTTAGTAGGGTCTACATTCAGGAAAGCTATTTAACAGTTTTTGAAGAAAATGAACTTTTTTTTTACATTTTGCGAAATGCCTCTTCCCCATTGCTTTTTCTGCCGTAGGTATACTTTTAGAAATCGTTGATTAAAGAAATACAAAAATATACTCCAAATTTCATCAAGATCGATTTTTATTTAACTTTTTGAGTAACAATTGTAA